AATTACACATAACAAAACAGTTATCAAGTAAGAATTCCAGTCACAATATTTATAACTATATCTTTATCATAATAATGGAAAACTATAACTATGACTATCCATTCTTCAACTCCATCAAAGACTCCAGAAGGATATAATATTACCTAAGTAAACAAGAAGTAAGCAACTTCCAAAACTGTAGAAATGACAGAGACATCTCGCTGCCTGGACAGTCACCCAAAGTTTCTCTGTATCGTTGGGGCACCCATCTTCAGCCTTCAGGCCCATAATATCCAGAGACATTTCCATGAAGCAGGAAATTTCAAAGGCAGTTCAGTCACTATCTGCTGTGTCCTGCAGAATGTCTCTCAGACTCTTTCATGAATCAGGAACCCCGAAAGATCATCTCACCTTTAGGCAAGTTCAGTAGTCCTTTCTCCGTGGGTTCTCTGTGTCCAGTTTATACAACAGTCCAGGCAAGAGCAGTTTCTTGCCCAAAATGGCTATCAAACTCCATAAGGAGCCTATTCGATGCCCATCTTCCTCTTGAAGTAGATTGGTGCTGCCAGGAGCAGACGTGTCTCATTGTCATGAAAAGTCCTAAGTTATTAAAACATTAAATGTCATGTTCTGTAGTCTTTGAAAGATATTAAGAATGCCTATCTGAAATATATCTATGCACATCTAGAAAATCAAACTAACATTACTAAAAGCTTGACTATTATCAATGATTATCCATTAACAACCTATATTTTTAATTATACATTACATTTTTAAATGAACTATACAATCACAATACCTCAATCAAGATCAGAAATATATATACATATAACAAAATTGACCTTAAAATCCATACCAATGAAATTATTCATATTTATATCAACAGAAGCATCAGAAAATGGAGAGACAGAGGAGGCAGGCATGGGCCCTGAGTGAGCACATACTCCTGCCAGTGTGACCAGGTTTCGGCATCATGTAGGCCTTAGAGGATTCTCTCTGGTGACAAGGAAGTAGAGCAGGAGGCAGCAGGAGTGACCAGTGGGGCTGAGGAACTGGGAGGGCCAGTCCCTGAGCCCGCCCCTTGAGATTTCTGCTCTAGCTGAAAGCAGCTGTGTCAGACACTTTGACCTTAGGGCCCATAAGGAGTTCTACCCATGTTCAGCTTCACCCTTCCCAGGCACAGCCAGAGCATGCTAGAAGCAAGGCCACTGGTCTCAAAGTGCATGCCTGATTCCTGATCACAACTGCCCTGAGCCCCACCACCAGGCTGTGGGGACCCACCTGGACTTCCTTCCCCTTCCCCTGCGTGCCTGTGTGCTAGGGTGCTACACATTGTCCCTTGTCTGGGTTCTGGAGTGGGCACACTGTGTGGCCTTTGTAGATGGCCTCTGTGCCTAACCCAGAGTTCCCCAGAGCCCTTGGGCAGTTCAGAAAAGCAGGAGAAAGGCACTGCTGGTCACCCATGTGGTCCCGGTAGCTGGTCATAGAGCCTTCTGGTCTTTTCTCTGTAGCTCAGTTAGCAGAGTTCTTCTGAAAGTTCTGCCTGCTGCATTGTTTGAACTAAGTTTAGAATACATCTTTTGTATAGAGGTCAGAGGTCAACTTTGTGTCTTCCTCTGTTACTTCCCTAATTTAGTTGAAACAAAGTCTCACTGAACCTGGAGTTCACAAAACTCAGCTAAACATGCTGCTGACCAGCAAGCCCAGGGACCCCTGTCTTCCCCTCCTGAACGCTAAGATTATAGATATACACCACTTTGCCCAGTTTCTTACCTGGCTGGTGAAGATCTGAACTCAGGTTCTCAGGCTTGCAAGTACAGTACTGAATAAGCCGTCTCTGTGTCCTTGCCCCTAGCATAAATCTGCTTTTAAATGTTCATTGAGTGGCATTTAGTCTTATGGATCATCACTTTACTATAACAAGGGGATTTGTCTCCTCACCCCTTGGTCTCAGGGCCCCTCTAACTGATGTTAGACATATGGTTCTCTAATGCTCAAACACAGATGGGGTCAGACCACCTTAGATAGCAACACTGCCCACCACCCACCGTGGGACCTTGGGCAAGTATAGCTCTTTGGCACCTCAGTGCCCCCAGCCCTGATCAGTGAGAGCTGGGTACCTCTGCATGGAGGCACCTCTACATATTTGGGCCCCCATGGCACACACTTGCCTGGTTTGCATTCCTGGAAATAGACTTCTTGGTTGGCATTGGCTGTGCAGGAACTATCTTACAGGCTGCTTCTAGATGCTTGCTATTTTGGGTTCTTGGTCTAGAGCCTCCAGCCGTGTAGGGTCTCACCAGCACTGACAACTGGGAGTCAGAGTATCCAGTGAAGATCACATGGTAAAGACAGAAACTTCACTATGGTAGAACTGGTCAGGGAAAGACAACAGATACTAAAACACGGAGGTAATAGAATCTACCAGATGAGATGGGGTTATAGGAAAGAACTAGAGCAGGTGAGGGCTAGAGAGGCTGGGTACAGTGGCCAGGTCGCCAGTAGGCCTGGGAGGTGACAGCTATCTGAATAGATGCTCTTAGAACCCCTGGGAGTGCACCATCTAGCTGAGGGGCTAACAAAGCCCGAAGTGTACAGAGGTGGATATGCAGATCTGTGGTACAGGGAAGTAGGTGTTTGCCGTTTGCCCAGGCACAAAGGAAGAGCCAGGAGAATAGGGTAGCAGGGTGGGAAGTTGTCCTGCCTGATGGCACCCTGGCTATAGATACAGGGGCCATAGCTGCCTGCTGACTCTCTGACCCAATCAGCACCTTTTTCTCCCACAGAAGCAAGCACATACTTCATAGACTTGACCATGCACATATTCCTTCTGTCTATATAGCCTGCTAGCAATCTCTGTGGTGGTCCCTGTCACCTGGCCATGAGTCCAGCAGTCTTTTTCAAAGCGCCCTGCATTAAGCACATCAAAGCTGCTACCATCGCCCTCCCAGGGACATGGGGACATTTCCTTAAGTCCTCCTGCTATCTAAGGCTGTCTGCTTCCAAACCTGTTGACTGTCGGTCTTCTCAAGCTAGAATCTCTCCAGGGGAGCTGGCTTAGACTGTGTGCCTACTCCCGGCTGTCCACTGATTCTACAGTGCCAAGTATCTTTAAAAGGAAGCCCTGGGCAGTTGAGAGACATTTGCAGCCTGAGCTGGGCCACGTGCCTGTGGTGGGTACAGCTCCAACTCCTCAGCACATGCCACCTGGCCAAAGGAAGCGGTGGGGGCACTAATGAAATGGTGTGATATCAGCCATATGCCCCAGGAGCTGTTGGTACAGGTTTCTTGGTCGATCCTTGGTGTTGTTCCCAGACCCCTGTGATGGCTGAGGTGACCTGACTGCTAAATGGCCACAGTATTGCTTGTGCCAGACTCCTCTTCCATCCCTGCCTGCTCTGTGCTGATGCGGTATGCACTGTGTGTAACCGGAGCTATCACAGATGAGATGGACCGCTGATTGGGCCACACCTGTCTCCCCAGCATGGCACAGACGCTCTGGAGCCCTGCACCTCTTCAGCGATCAGACCTCCTGGCACCAGAGAGAGACAGGCCCGTACCATTTGTCAGGGTCTGGTGCCAGCAGGAAGAAGGCCCAGCTCTGATTCAAGGACTCAGATACCTGCAGGCCTGGCACCAGCCCAGGGCCCTCTTCTTGCTCCAGGGCCTAGGCACCGTCTGGGAGGAAGCAAAGCCACAGATGCAGGGCTAAAGACCAGGCAGCTGCAGGAGGGCACCTTCTACTGGGTGCACTGTGTCAGGGAACCATGGGCGTCTTGGTTCCAGGGCCCTGATAGCAGCTTCAAGCCCCTAACTTTTCCAGGGGATCCAGGCTTTGAGGTAGCTCACAGTCTCACTTTCGCCTGTCAGAATGAGTCCAAACCCTTCATACAGTGAGACAAGCTGTCCCTAGTGGACTGCAGTTCTCCAGGGATGTACCACTTTTTAAATTTGCAGTGATTAGGGCCCAGTGCAGTGCTTAGAGAGGTGAGATCCTTCTTCAAGATCATTGTCAGAGCTGGGCAATAGTGGTGCATGCCTTTAATCACAGCACTTGGGAAACAAGGTCGGCAGATCTCTAAGTTCAAGACCAACCTGGTCTAGAGTGAGTTCCAGGACAGCCATGGCCACACAGAGAAACCCTGTCTTGAAAGAAAAAGTCATTGTCAAAGGCCCACATGCAGGTGGATGCTGGCCTTCAGAATCAGGAGTGTCAGGAGATTCACCCGGGTGCCAGCAAACACTAGCAGACACTGCCTGAGCCTCTGCCTAGTGTCTCATCCAGAAACCCAAAGCAATTGGTTGTGAGTCTCGACACAAGATAAACAAACATGTGGGATGCTGAACTCAGTGGAAACTAAATGCAGTGTCTGCAGCTGCCAGGTGTTGTCAGGGTGCAACTTCACTGAAAAGGGCTAAGCACCGCCTTTTCCTGAAGGGCCATAGGACATCTTCCACTGTTAGAGCAGGAAGGGTGTTCTGGATGAAGGAAGGTCATACTTAGCTCTTGGTGATGGCAGAGAACCCAACCTTACTCAGGGTGGGTGGTGAGGATGGAGGAGCCAGCTAGAGACAGTGTCTCCCAGAGCCTGGGTGAGATGCCCACAGGAGGTCTGGTCAAGGAGAGCTGATTAAACCTCCTGGCTTACCTCTGTCTGCTGAGGCTCCCCTCCTCTGAAGCCACCCAGAGGCAGAAGGCACAGAACCTCAGCCTGCTACAGGGTCAGTCTCCCAGCATAAGGGATAAGAGCGTGTCTCCATGGTGGCCAGAACCTTCAAGTGTCCTGCCTGGCCGGTAGAACAGTGTTCCCAGAGAGCATTAGGACCTTAGGGGCCAGGCAAGAAGTTAGAAGATCAGAGAGTTGTACCTCTAGAGTGGCTGGCTATAGTGAATTGGGTGTGGGGAGGAGTCACAAAGGCCCTACCTTGTTGGGCAGAGGGTGATACTGGGTTGGGTAAGGGCATGGAGCGGGGAAGCAAGGAGGCAGCTCTGTGAGTCAGTGACACTTTTATCCCTTCAGGTGGCCTCAGCCCTGAGTCTAAGAAGATTCTGACGCCTACACTCAAGAAGCGGAACCGAGCTGGCCGTGGGGAGACCACTAAGCAAGAGGAGGGCACCGAACGGCCAGAGCCCATGCAGCCTGTGACACTCAGTCTGTCTTTCAAGCGCTATGTCTTTGACACCCAGAAGCGCATGGTACAGACTCCCTAAGTGAACCAGCCCCCCAAGGCCTCCTGCCCAGCTGCAAGCCAGACTACAGTGCCAGATGCCCCCTGACGTGCCTCAATCTCCCCAATCCTGCGGGCAGCCCCATTTTACTGCTATCCCCACTGATGATGAGTCCCACTAAGAAAACCTGCCATCCCTTCACCCTCCCAGGATAACAGCTAGGTCCAGCTAGGAAAGGGCCTTAGCAGAACCAGCAACCTGGGCATCACAGGCTTCCCCAGTTAGGGTGTCTGCAGCCAATGTCAGCCCTATCCCAAGTAGCTGGCACCCTGCAACTGGAAATAAACATCCCGTATGTGACCTAGCCCACCCATAGTCTGCCTGTCTTCCAGGGTTACCAGGCATCACAGGGTATGGTGTGGCACTGGGTGAGGACCATCCAAGTGGCTCCTGGGGTGTTATGGGCATTGAAGAATTGAGGTTCTCTGAGCAGCTGAACTTAGTAAGGCCTCTGAACAATGGCTAGCACCCTAGGGCTCCGTGTTGACATTAGAGGTCAACAGACCCTGACCTCCAGTTTGGGGACCAGACTTCCAAGAGTGCTAGGGTCAAGGTGGAGCATGTGGACCCTCTCCATGTTCATCTCCAGTCCCAGCACCCTCAGGCTTAACGTGGAGACTGAAATGGGGCGAGAGGGTGGGGCTGACCAATGAGAGGAGTCAGAGCTTTTCCAGACACCTGTAAGGGTAGCAGATGTCCCAGCGCTTCCCTGTTTGACCTCCAGACAGACGTGAAGGCCTCCCTTTATCCCAGTAATCAGTGCATTATGCTTTAATTTTCAAAAATGGCATTAAAAATATTAACAGGGGCAGGTTGTGATCAAATGACTTGGGTCTGTTAAGCCCCAGAGCTGAGGACAGAGGAAAAGGACCCAGGCTACAGTACACAGCGTCCCTGAACGCTATGGCCCCTAATCAAATATGCCATCAGCCTGCCAAGCCCCTCATGCATCCAAGAGGCCAGGATGGCAGTGACTGCCCTTCACCATTCTTGGCCAGCCCTTAGGCAGCTGCAGTCAGGGCAACCCATAGCTGAAGACAAGCAGGGACTGGGTTTTGCTGCCAGGCCCCTAAGGACCAGCTTCCTACAGCTATAGGACTCCATGGTACCCTTGCCACTACTCTGTCAGTCCAGGGCCTGGATGTGGCCCAAAGGGCAGCAAATGTAGGGTGATCATGGCCACTGCGGTTGTTCCTCTCCCAGTGGAACTGAATTCCAACTCCAAGGAATCCACTGCTGCCACCTGTGTGGGCACCTCAGGGATGGCTGCCTTCTGCTTGGTCTGCCTCTTGTGCAGCACTGTGCCCTCATTCAGCTCCACCCAGACTGGAAGACTGCCATGCCTGAAGGACAGAGTCACTGACTGAGCTGCCCTCTCCCCTCCCTGACCTTTCCCGCCTGTCATGATGCCTGAGAAGCACAGTCAGAGACAGTGAGACCCAGGCTTGGGCAAAGGCCTCAAGGCAGGTAGCCAAACTGACTGAGGTCCACAGTCCCCTACCTCTCTTCTGGGAGCAGTAGAGGCTTCTAGGACTGGTGGCCTCTAAGCGTGGGTGAGTGGCCGAGCCAGGTCTGAGTCCTCATTCCGCTCAGCTTGAAACCTGAACCAGGAACCTCCCTGGCCAAGGGGCCTGAAGCTCCTCCCTGCAGTTTGGGAGATGGTATCCTTATCTGCTCTTAATGGGATTTATAACCTTGGTCAAGTTCCCAGCCTATACCTCAGGGTCCCCAATGAACTCTGCTGAGCATCACACCCCTGCAGCCTGGGGAGCAAGCCAACAGATGTGCCCACATTGAGGGACAGTGTAAACTCACAAGAGGCTGTGCAGCCCACCCTAGCCCTGGTACAGCTCCAGTTCAGCCATTTTCTCAGGACCTGTGTGTGGATTAGAGTCTCCATGTCCATAGAGTCTCTACCCTCAGCATCTCTCCTGAAGACTGTATTCCTGAGAGCCCAGATAGAGGGAAGTGGAGGCACATAGAAGGGCCCAGGGCTGAGCACTGGGAGGGGTTGCTCAGCATGTGACCCCTCTACAAAGCCTCTGGGACCCTGAGAATATATGAAGAATATATGAGAATATGTGGCCTGTCCAGTGTGACCTGAGAGCACAGCTGAGCCTCTATCAGGCATGGCATTGGTGGAAACTCAAACACCATTAGTGAGTTAAAGTCAGGGTGCACAGTCCTGAGGGGTGGTCCAGTCAAGGCAGCAGTGAGAGGGAGCAGTGTGCTCTGCTGACCTGGACTGGCTGCAGGAAGGGCCCCCAGCTCCAGAACCCTCCAGTCCTCACATGGTCCCAGGCTCCAGTTTTTTAGGGAAGCTACAACTCCACAGGGCCAGGTTCATTCCAGCCACAGCCCACAGGAACCTGCGTGGGGTCTCCATGCCATGGGTTAGGGCACTAGACAATACCAAAACCCCGCCATAGTGCCTGGGGTGTATCCTCAGAAAAGAGACACCCCTTGGCCTCCTACACACCATGAAGTCACAACCAGTGCCGCACCACGGGCTGGGTGGGGGCAGCATGATTGGCAGGCCCTGGAGCATGGGGCTAATGCACCAGCACAGAGATAAGGCTTATCTGGAACCGTCCCTGGAATCGGACTCTGATGGAAACAGGCTCGGGTTAATATATTTTTGATAGATAACGGCTGGTAAATGGGAAGCCCTGGGGGCCTGGGGCAGAAGGGACAGCCTCTGTCCTCCCCAGCCATGCACACGTGCACCTGGTCTGGGTGTGTACGGAGCCTCTGGACAGGCCAGCGTCTGGACACCATGTACTCAGGGTTCGTCTGTCTCCTGTATGTGTGGCATCTGCAGAGGAGTGGAGTAGAGGAGGCAGGGTCTGGTATCTGCAGAGTGGTGGCCCGCAGAGCACAGACGTGGATGAGCACCTTCTCTGGGGCCCGGTAAGACTAATGATAGGAGACTGTCAGCCAGGTGAATTCCCTCCTACTTGGTGAGCCCAGCCCAGACGTCCTAACCTGTACAACCTCCACACTGCCAGGCTTCCTCAGCGCCCCTCATGGCCTCCCAGTTCCTAGTGTGGCCCTCCCTTGAGGGTCATCTCTGACCCTTCTTTCTGCCAAGAGACCACAGAGGCTCCATGAGTAAAACTGAAGAGAGAAGGAGTTTGCCAGGGGAGGAGGACATACTGTTGAGGGACCAGAAGTGCAGACTCTACAGGGAGAACTGAGAGATTGCTAAAGGAAGGTAGGGAGCCCTCGAGGGAGACGCCCTCATTAGGGAGAGCAATCACCGCACACTGATAATAGGTACAGCCATTAATTAGCTCGCCCAGTCATCCACAGGCTTGACTGCTGGGAGTAGGTGCGGGGCAGGGACTCTGGCGTGAGGCTGTCAAGGGGACTAAAGAGGAGGCCTGTGGGGACCGAAGAGCCCCAGCGGGGCGGGTTCCCCAGCCCTAGCCTAAGAGAAAGAAAAGGAGTCCCGTGAGGTGACCTGACAGGATAGGGAAGTCTGGATGTGGGAGGGAAAGCAGTCCAGGATGACAGTGCAGAGGGGATGTTTGGAAGGTTTGAGGACTCAGCACAGGTGGTAGAACCTGAATGTAGGGACAGAATTGTGTGGGGCATCAGAAAAGGACACTGGTTGAGGTCCCTGGGTATGTCATCCTGGCCCAGCACAAGAACACAGATCTGCTTGCCTGCACTCACTAGACTTGGAGAGAGCAAATTAGATTGTCCCACTGGCCTGTCCCCTTTCTTCCACCTCAGCTTGCATGCGGGGCCCAGCTCCTAGGCATGGGGGCCAGAGGTCCTGCAGCCCAGGCGTAGAGGTGTTGCTCAATACGCTAGGATCCTCCAGCGTTATCATGGGCCTAGAGGGGAGACCAGCAGCAAAACAGTGACTTCCTGTGGCCACAGCTGGGGCCCCAGATAAAGAGTGCCAGAGCCTGGTGACCCTTCTAGGAACACCCTTTTGGGTCCACCTCCCACATGACCACCTCTGAACCCAGGTTCTGCTTGGTCCTGACTGCACAGTTCCAAGAGACCACTGTGGGTGGGGATTTCTTCCTCGGTATGGTTCCCGTCTGTCCCGCCAGTCCTCTGAGCCACAGGGCTCCCTGAGACGGGACGCAGGTGGCCATCTCCTTTTTCCACAGCAGGGCCCCAGGAGGAGACTTAGGTGTTGCCCACTCCCCAGCTCCTGGCTTCTGTGCTCCAACCTCCTGTCTCTTTATTTCTCTTGTCCTTGCACGGGAACAGCTGATGACCAGATGAGAGGAAGAAGTGTCAGCCTCGTTGACCAGGCCCACAGGGTCTCCTGCTCTCTTCCACACCCCTTCCCTCTGCATTTTACATCTGTAGGCTGGACTCTCACAGAGACAGTGACAAGGCTCTACTTCATGAGCCAGAGGAACTGCCAGCTAGGGGTCTAGAAAAGCCAGAAGGTACAGGCTTCCCAAAGACATAGGAAGCCTGAATTCTCAAAGACCTCGTGAGTTTTCAGACCAGGGTACAGAGACCAAATTCCTGCTCCTACACGACCCTGTCCCCACCCTGTCACCCCTGACCTTCAGCACTGACTTAAAGTTCAGCGTCTTTGTTACCACCCCCATACTACCACCATGATTGTCACCCACAGCAGCATCACCACTACCCATGATGCCCTAGACCTGTAGGACAGCAGTACACCCCGCCACGCCACCCCCAAATCTAGCCAGGATGCACGCTGGCCTCGGACTCCAGTAGAAACCACAGCTGTATGGGGCTCATCCCACTTGTCTCCCTGCAGTAGTGACCCAAGCCATCCCTACATCTTGGTCTGTCCTCCTGCAGAGATGTAGAGATCCATTTTCAGCATGCCACTCCTCGGTGGCTGCCAGCGACAGCTCAGGCCCTTTGCTTATATCCCGTGTCTAGTCATTCATCTGCACATTTTATAAACCAGGTTGTGCACACCTGTCATCCCAGCACTTGGTGGTGAAGGCAAAGAGGTCAGAAATCCAAGGTCGTTGTCCTCCCTGTGGACTATCAGGGAAAGGCTGAGATTAGTAAAGCTGGGGCTGGGACAGAATCAGGGGTAGAGGTGATATGAGCTGGCCCTGGTGCTGTTTAGTGGGGATCTAGGGGCAAGCCTCAGTGGAGATAAATGGCCCTGCAGGAGTGAATGGCTTAATAGCAAGTTAGGCCAGATGCCTTCAGTGTGAGAGTCCTGAGAAAGTGGCTAGGCTGGGCTTCAGATTTGGTACTGGGGAGAGGCCTGAACTAGACACACAATAGGACCATGGGCACGGAGGCAGTGAAGCCAGGGTTGTACCACTGTGGGGAAGACAAGGC